AAAAAAAAAAAAAAAAAAAAAAAATCACAGCCCCCGTTGCTCAATCAGAACTCACCAGGTGTAGGCCAGGCACGGTGGTGCACACCTGTGATCCCAGCACTCAAGATGCTGAAGCAGGAGGGTTTTTGTGAGTTCAGGGCCAGCCTGGGGTACATAGTGAGTCCAAGGCCATCCTGAACTGCATAGCAAGACCCTGTCTCAAACAAAAAAAAACAAACAAAATTCACCAGCTGTGCAAGTAAACAAGAATAAACCCAAAAGGAGAAGAAAAATTAGTTGAAGGCAACAGAAACCACACAGATGACAGAATGAATAGACAAAGATGTGGGAGGCATCGCTACATCTGCACCCAATGTCCAAAAAGCTAGAGGGCAAAGGGAATGTAGTTTGTAGGGATATTCTACAGCAACACTGCAGAGAAGCATGGGAGGCAGCTCAGCTCATGGCTGTACTTCACCTATGAAGTCTGGATACCTGGAACAAAGTAGATGTTCAATAAATACTAACTTTTGGTCTGGGGTTTTAGCTCAGTGGTTCTGCTGCCTGCCTCACAAGCGCGGGGTCTGGAGTTCCAACACCAGTACGAAATAGATAAATAAATAAATACTAACTTTTGTCTCCTTTAATTCTCACTCTCGTTTTATAGATTAAGTTTCAGAGAGATCAAAGATCTTCCCAAGGCCACACAGCCACAAAGTGGTAGGCAAAGATCCCTGGGCCTCTGGTGCCCACCAGATCTCTCCACTGTAAAAAAATGCCAGGCAGGTCTCGGGCAACTTCCAGCCCCAGAAAGGGAAGGCTCAGACTGTAAAGCAAGTTTCACTGTTGACTAGCAGGACACAAATATCAGCCCTTTCTCTTTAACAGGCTCCCAACCTCAGCTTCCCCTTCCCAGTTTGGGGGTAAGGACAGGAGACCACCCAAGGCAGGCTAGGAATACTGAAGGAAGACACTAATTTCTGTCATGTTGAAATTGTCACCACTGGGGCTAGAGCTCTGGCGTGTGACTTTGGTGTTCAGCCTCCAGCCCCACAAATCTCAGCAACTCCACCTGGAGGACAGACCGCAGCCCAGCAACACAGCACAGTATGTACACAGAGCCTCAGAAGGCTCCTGTGGCTCCCACCTGCACCTGTACCCTCCTCCAGCAGCACCAGCCCCGTGTGCTCCATGCCTCCAACCAGGGCTGGCATAGGAGGACCGTAAGGCCACTCCTGCAAATGTGTACCCTCAGGGATAGGCTCTAAGTTCACCCAATGCCATAGGCACCCCCACACTGGCTTCTCTCTCCTGAGCAGGGATCAGGCCTGGGTCTGTGGGCCTCTGCTGGTGAGCACACAATGCTAAGAAGCTGCCCTCATGCAGCAAGTGCCGTGACCAGGCATGTGAGGCTGCATCTTGAGCTGGAAATTTGGCTTCACTTACAGAGGGTCTAAGGGTCAAAGGACAAGCACTATACCCCCCTCATGCTAGCTGCAGCCTCCAGCTGTAAGGGTCAAGCTCCCTGAAGGGCAGGGCATGATGACAGAGGGCCCTACCCAGCATCTCTGCACGAACAGCAGCTCAGAGCTGGCAGGGTCGGACTGCAGGACCTCCACCAGCTCCCAACAGGCTCTGGCAGCATGAATGATGGTGGCCCGAGCGATAAGAAACTAATAATTTATGTTTCCAGCTCCCGAGGCTGGCGCCGAGGGAGGGCTGAGCCACAGCCTTCCCCTCCCTGGAGTGGCTGCAATCCTTTATTGCACAAATTATTAACGACCAGAGAATGAATGACTGTAATCAGATCAGGGCTGCCAGCATTTTTCATTTCATTTATTTGTATAAATCCTGAAGTCGGGGTCTGTCCTGAGCTCAGAAAGCCAACCTCTATTGGCCAAGTACCCAGGCCCCCACACAGCTGACCCTCCCCTACCTTTCCGCAGGATTCAATGTATGAGGAGGGCAGAGGGGTTGAGAGGGGGCTAGAGGTGAGTTTCTGTGCACCCACAGCAACCCTATTCCATGATGGGACACTGAGTCAGGGTCAGATCTCTGTCTGTGACTGTTCTCAGAACTGGGGCCTCCCCAGAACTGGGGAGGTGTGAGAACAGCAGAAAGTGCTCCCATCCCTGAGGTTTGTCATCCTCACCATGATGGTCCTGGCTAGCCCTGTCCACCCTTAGTCTCTCTGTCTCCCTCACAGTGTACCCCAAAGGCGGGGTCTCACCTCCCCTCCCCTCTGTCTTGCTGCTGTAGCTGGTTCATCCCTCTCTTGAGTCTAGGATGTGGGCTGAGGTCTTCTACAGGCTGCTGCGGTCCTTTCATGAGCCCACTTTCAATCTCACTGACCTCTCGTTATACTATGGCACATAAATTCAGATTGGAGATCTTATGTTCCATCATAAATTGGGCTGGCAGACTTCCAATCAACAAGATAAAGCTGTCTCCTGTGAAGGTGGGTATTTTATTGGTCTTGGCCTCAGTGCCTCAGGCAGGGACGGGGTGAGGAGTGGGCCTCTGATGTGGTATCCTACACTGTTCTGGGGGCTGTGTGGTTCTCAGGTCCCTGATCCCTCCTGTCATCATAAGCGAGGCCCCAAAGCCCTGGGCTGCAATAGCCTGCAGACCCCACCCACACCTCTAGAATAAGCTTGGTCTTGAGTGAGCAGCCACAGCTGGACAGCAGGCTTCGGCATCCAAGGGAGCACAGTCAACAATCCTGTGTGCATGCAAGATTGTGAACGTGTGCCTATGAACATATGCATGCCCTTCCTTTCATGGTGGACCAGCAGGAAGCAGGTCAGGAGCCTCTGTACCTGGGGTCTGTGTCGGGACTCAACCCACCCACTTCTGGGGCTGTCCCTGAGTTGGCAGTGCATGACTCAGGATTGTTTAGTACAGAGTTCCTGTTTTCATGAAATAGCACTCAGGACTGCCCCATTGTGACCCTCAGCAGAGCACGGAAGTGAGAGGGCTCCAAGGGATTATGGAATACTCTCACCTACACTCCTCACAGGACATCCACCCACACAAGGCATCAGTGTACCCTAACAGGCTATCACTAACAACTTGCCCACTAAGGAAGGAGCCCATTGATGACAACAGGAATCCAGGACTTGGCCTGGGTTGCTTCAGGCTCAGTCTGTACCTCAGGAAGACAGTCTGGGGCTGACTTGTGATGGGAAATATAATTAACTCATTGTCCAACTAGGCTTACTCCTCTGAAAACCCCCAACACAATAAAGTGGCACCAGCCCCTCCAGTGATCCTGCAATCAGACTCTTCCCACTATAGCCAGTTCAAAGGTGTGACTCCACCAGTGTAGGACTGAATAAAATCCCACAGTATCCAGCAACCACACAGCACAATTCTGTACATTGCTTGGGTGCAAATTTGATTGCAAAAAGAAACTCTAAAGAGGATCCCAGAGCAGCCAGGTTTACTAGTATGTCTCCTCAGCCCATCAGTAGCCCTGGACCTGCTCACTGGTCATGAGGCTCCCTCAGGAAGCAGCCAGGGCTGTGCAAGGGAGTGACCTCAGTGCCTGTGTCACATCCCATGTGCAGGTGCCCAAGTGCTCACTGATGCTCCACGCCATATGCCCATGTGCATACTGCACAGAGACCACAGAGGGGGCAAGGGCCTGTGACACATGGGCAAATCTAGGGTGCATTTAGCCTGAGGCCAGTCCTGCCACCTGGCAGGTGGGCATCACCTTCTTGCACATTTACTGGACATTACCCAGGAGACGGTCAGTACCATTACCAGGCAACGCAGGCTGATTTCTCTATTTTGAGACTCTAGTCTGCTTCCTCTAGGCCCGAGTCCTGTCTTCTCAGGGCCCAGAGAACAAAACTATTGGAACACGTACAGGAGTACTTGGGACAACAGGCAGCAGTGCGAGCCTTGCCTGCCCCAAGCCATGTCCATAGGGTCCACAGCACCCGTGTGTCATGGGCCAGGCTCTTGGTACCACACCCCATGGGCAGCCTCATGCTCTGACTTCACCCAGTCTGGGACTGTGCCTGCTGAAGACCTGGCCACACCAGATCCTCCCCAGATCTCCATGTGATGAAGAGAATACCTGTGGTCAAACTTTTAAGCTTCTGGGGACACGAAGGTATGCAGAGTCCCACTGGCACTGGGAGTAGCAAAAGAAAACAGACAAGTGATGGGACTACCCAGGGCCAAGTGGCCACATCAGGCTAGAAGTGTCTCAGAGAGCCCAGAACCCAGTCTGGGCTGTATTTATTTGGTTATGAGCTGAGCCAAGCCGTGGCCATACTGGGGTCCATTCTGCAGCCTTTCAGAGAGCCTCTCAGAAGTGTATCTGGCCACCTGTCCCTTCCAGCTTTCACCATTTCCCTGTAGCCCCCCAGCCCATTTCCTTTGGCCTTCAGGCTTTCTGTGTGCAGGGACCTGCTGTGATGCCCCCACCTTTTGCAGCCCTGGGGATTGAACCCAGGGCCTTGCACATGCTAGGCAAGTGCTCTACCACTGAGCTACATTCATAGAACTTTTAAATTTTTATATTTTAATAGGACCAGGGATGTAGCTCAGTGGTACCATGCCTACCTGGCAAGCACAAGATTCTGAGTTCAATCCCCAGAACCGGGAAAAAAGAAAAGTCTTACAAAGTTGTCCATACTGGCCTCACACCTATGATCCTCCTATCTCAGGCTCTTGAGTGGCTGGAATTATAGTTATACACTCCACACCTGGCAGGATACCCTCTTCTTAGTTCCACCTAGAAGACTGGCAGAGCCCACTCCTCCTTCATGCCCACTTCTACCCCTCCTTGGCAAGTGACCTCTGTCCTAAAGCTCTGAAGACAGCACAACCTGCTGCCTCTATCTGGCCCAAGGGCTCAAGGTCTGCCCAGGCCAGGTCAGGTAAACATGCAGAGTCAGCTGTGGACAACCAAGGCCTAGATACCCTAGAATGAGGAACATGAACCCCCAAGGCCTTCCCATGGGATCTGTGCTGAGCATGCACTGAAGTGCATGGTGGAAGGAGGTCACACACTTGTGAGCAGGAAGGTGTCCCTCACACCCAGGACCAATAGTGGTGAGCACACGGGGTCTTTCAGCCTTCTCTCAGCCCCTGCACACTCTTGAGACATGGAGGTGAGCCTGGGCCCATGCTACTTAGCTCTGGTGGGCCCCCAGCCTCTCACCTAAAGGAAGGCTCCCACCTACACTCCTTGAGCTAAGAGAGGTAGCTGAACCAGGCTGCAGCCCCATGTCAACCCAGCAGTTGCTCCATGGGCTATCCCTCCAATACCCAAGTTGCAGCCATTTCTATCCACAGGAAAAGGAAGGTTGGGACTAGCCTTCATGCCTGCTCCCTGGACAGACTCTCAGGCTCCCAGGGGCCCTGGAGAACTCACCTCATGCCCTTTGCTTGGCAGAGGGCGGGGGCAGGGGCAACCTTCAGCTCCTGCACTCCAGGTCAATTTCATGGAGGAGGTGAGCAGGTATGCAGGGTCCTAGCAGTCATCTGTGTAACCTGGGCACCTGTTCCCTGACTGCTCTGCTCCAAGCCAAAGGGCAGCCATGGATTTTGAGTACCCTCTGCCAGATGGGAAACATGTCCCTGAGAAAAAGAGAGAAAGTTGGTTCATGAGGTATGGCAAGAAGAATCTGAGGCTTAGGTCACTACAGGATTCACCTTTGCACCACCTGATTCAACCTCCATCGAAGCCCAGATCCAGATGGGACTGCAGTACCTGGAAGGTTTCACTAAGACAGAGGCTGTCCCTCCCCACACAATGACCAGGAACAGTGTCTGTGCCCCTCCCTGAATGGAAGGTCTAAGCCTGCAGACCCAAGATTGGGGGTTCCTGCCAATGCTGCCAGGTCAGCAGCTTCTGTATCTGGGAGAGGCCTCTGTACCGCACCAAGGTACCAGTAGGTGTGTCCAGCACATGAGCATCCTTGCACTGGTGTTTGAGTCACTTCATGTGTTGGCACCATTGAACGTGTCAATGTACAGCTAGCAACAGCCTAGTAGCAAGTGTTCCCAGGGGTATCTACTGAAATCCCTGTATGTGAGCATCTCATGCCCTACTTCTTTTTCCTCAAGTGGCAGAGGTTAAAGACAGTGGACAGCCTGGCCTCAAAAACACCTTCCTGTCTTCCTGAGAGATGTTACATGGCTTGTAGCCAGCTCATAGCCAGCGAAAGGCTCAGCATGTCTCAGCAGGGCAGCTCTCCTGTGCCTAACCAGGGCCAGGAGAATATTCCTGGAGGTTCTGGCCACTCTGCAGGAATGTCTGAGAGGTCCCATCTGGCTTATCACTAACCCCTGACCTTTCAGGTTAACCCTTCCTGTCCAACAGTGCTGCCAACTAGACCCTTGTGCCCAACAAGCTATTTTTGGCAGATGAACATCTGGTGCTGGTGTCTTAAGGTCTTTTATATGTGTTTCATGTCTCAGGATTTGTGAGGTTTGTCTACTTGTGCAAGTTAGCACATACCTTCTGTGCTTGCATTGATGCCCAAGGTGTGTGGGCATTCAAAGGTAATGTCTGTGCACCCTGCACCTGTCCTGCATGTGAAAATTCAGGAGCCACAGTGCTGGCACACAAGGGTGCATAGGTGTAATATGCTTGTGACTGCTATCTATGTGTTGAGTATGCAGGCATTTACTGGTAGCTGGCACATGGGTACACAGGCCCACTTCCTCAGGGCTCAGGGTCATCTGGGCCCACACCCTGGCCCATATGCTCTGTCCGTAAGCACTGCCTGTCTCCTGGTCCCAGTAGGCCTGGGCCTGTTCCCCACATATGCAGCCCCTCATTGCCAGACCTGAGAGCTCAGGCAGACAGGAGGCAGGCAGGCCAGGATTCCACTCACCTGCACCTCCTCTGACACCACACCTGTGCTCTACTGACACTGCTTTCCTCTGCATCTACGTCTTCCCACCTCAGGGCTCTCTCTTCTGGGTATATACTACATCTGAAGCTCAATAAATGGTTGATTGATTGATAAAGGGCTGGATAAGGCGGGCCTGAAGAGGCAAGCACTCTAGGGTGGGTCAAGGCTGGAGCAGTCAGGTTGGGGGCAAAGGGCCCTGCAGCTGCCCTCAAGCTCCCCCAGGAGTCCCAGGTCACAGTCTACCGCTGCTGCCCTCAGGTTATTTATGACCCACCCTCCTCCCCCTCCCTTTGGCAGTGGCTGGCCTCAGCCCAGCAGTAGAGGGCCCTGAGCAGGGGGACCCAGAGCAGCGACAGTGAGGCACCTTTGAGATAGGGGCCTTCGAGAAGTGCTGTGGTGCCTGCTGCGCCCTGTGCTCCCTTGTGAGCCCATGCAAATCTGGAGCAACTCTACCCCCATCTCTCTCTCTCTCTCTCTGGCCTCTGCTCCAGTCTGAAAAGTGCAGAGGAATGAGGGGTCCAGTTGCCAAGCAGAGCAGGTGTTGACTATAACCTGCTGATCATAAAGCTGGTTCCAGACAAGAGTCTACTCCCAAGAGGAAGGAGAAGGGGCCATTGTGACCCCTTTGAAGAGAGGGGGATTCTCCAGAGGGGTTGCAAAGACTACGGCACAGAGGGTGGGGTGGGTGCCCCCCCAGCAATGGCCTCCTGTCCCCCGAGCTTGCCTGAGTAAGCCAGAGGAGCCTTGGAGGGTAGGGTAGGGTCTCAGATCTGAGCCTGTGCTTCTACAGCTACACAGTGAAGGCTAGGAGGCCTGGGGACAGGGCTGGTGAACATGAGAAGCCTGTGTGGGAGCTGTCATTGGCAGGCAGGTCAGGGCTGTGGAACATGTGGTGACACTTGGCCTCCACCCAGCCCTGATAGTCTGCATGTGTGCCACAACCACCTATTAGTATAGTAGCCTTTCTGAGGCCCTGGTTTGCTGGCAGAATCCTGGATCCCTTAAGCAAGGAAAAATCAAAGCTCAAAGCAAGACACAATGATGCGGGGGGGGGGGGGGGTG